GACCTCAGGTGCCCTTCAGTACATTATTTCAGGCACGAACGGGCACATGAGTACAGTAAGCTAGCTGGATAGCTTCCTCACATGGAAGGTTCCAAAGTCCCTGTCGGGATTCGAACTTACAGTGGTGAGGGGTAAATAACACTTGATGATGAAATATGAACTGTAAATATATATGCAATATTTACACTCAGTTAAAATGATTTGCAAAACATAATATGGTTGACAATCGTGCAAAAAGAGCAAAACGTCAATAGCTTAAACAACAACAACAATAATAATAATAAACACACACAATAGAAAATACAAACTCACGTACTAGTTTGTGTTTAAAAAGCCTTGTGGACAAAGTTCCAATTATATTATCGTTCATATGGGAATATAATAACATATCTTTCAATATGTGCCTTGTTCCTGCATGCTTCTACTTTAAAGCATTTTAAATTTCACCAAAGCAACAAAGATATGATTCAAGGTGTTTATCTAAAGTCGCCACAGGAATATACAGTATGGGATTTCCTCAAGCAGAGAGTTATCCATTTAAATGTTTGGAGTTTAGAGATTCTCCGCTCCAAAAGTAACCTCTAAGTCTTTAATTTATATGTAAACCATTCATGAGAGGGACTAGAGGGGTCGATGTTAAGTTAGGAAAAACAGGGATGGAGTTCGAACTCTAACATGATATGGAGTTTAAGTTACACCGTGCTATCACGCGGCAGCTTTATAGCAAATAACGTTAAGCCATGCATTTTAATTGAATACGGTTTTGTTCCGCCCTTTCTTACATTAAAGCTGCATTCCTTCAGATGAGCCAAGCAGTTTCAAGAAACTTAATATTTTTTAAGAAAAATGAATTTAAATTTTAAGAAAAGTAAAAATATTTACAATTCATGTAATAATTTATACATGTTGCACCTATTGCATGACTGATTTTGCAGTGTTTATTAGTATGTTTCTACTGCGTGACTAACGGCTTTTTTGTATGCTAGTATTTTATATATGAGCCGCGTCACGACAAAACCAACATAGTGCGTTTGCGACCAGCATGTATCCAGACCAGCCTGCGCACGCGCAGTCTGATCAGGATCCCAGTTTATCTACTTGTAATAGAGTTGGTAAGCGAACAGCATGAATCCTGATCAGACTGCGCGGATGCGCAGGCTGGTCTGGATCCATGCTGGTCGCAAACGCACTATGTTGGCTTTGTCGTGACGCGGCTCATACTTATTTGGTTATTTTCGTGATGTTTGCAATGTATAAATTACTTTCTTTGATCACTTGACAAAAATTTCTTTCTTATTTACATTTGCAAAATGTTCACGAAAATAAGCTGAGCTGGAGACATGTTGTTTTAAGAAAACGAACCGCTAGCAACGAAGACTGAACTTAAAAGTCGTAATTAGGACAAACAAGTAGTCAACGTAAAACAAGAAGAAGAAGAAGAAGGAGGAGCAGGAGGAGGAGGAGGAGGAGAAGAAGAAAAAAAACACTTAAAATCTATGTCAGGGTTGGCACTCCTACTTAAAGAATTATGTACTATAAAACATCTTTCACGATTTTTATTATATTCTAGTTATATTCCGACATCTAATTCATTATTACTACGGAGATCATTGTTTCAAAAAGTGTCAATATTTGAAATAAAACTTGTAGTGTCAAAATGAGTTCTTCAATTAATACATATATTAAGCGACCTTCAGGTTTACAAAGTTTGCTTGCTTGCAGATATTGTATTCACAGAAAGAAAATCTTTGAGATTGTAAAAACGTATCTAACGTAAAAAGAATCTTTTTAAAGATCTTCTGAAGTTTAATTTAATAGATTTTTAAAAAAGGATTAAATTATTTCATATGGAAATGTCTTTTTATCAATAAAACGTAATCAGCAATTATAATAGGATAACCTTCAAATTTTCATATACACAAAATTTTCATAGATAAATCTGATAATTTTGTCGTTTATGAAAGAATCGTTTTCTTTTTCTCAAGGGCTCCCACTTTCAATTTGACATTTATCATATCGACGGGGCATGTATTAAGCGCCCTAGAACAGATCGTTACCATAATAATATTGAGTCATGAGCAAATAACATTGACAAAACTTGAAAAATACATGTCTTCTCAAATTAGACCTTCATGCTGTCAACTAGTTTGAACCCATGCACCTTTCTTTTCGAGCTATTAAATAGCAAGAGTACACACTAAAAAATTGTCAAGTTTTAGGGAAGGGTTAATTAAAATATGTCTAGGCAGAGTAGCACCGCCTAACTTTAATGATTAAAATACTCCCGATTGAATTACTGGTATGCAACTGTTTATTTTTCTTTATTTTACATTAGATCTGTATCCATATTTACTTTAAATGATAACAACATGTTTTACCACAACAAACACACGTTAATAGGCTTATCTAAACAAGAAAAAATGTTCACAAATATGCCTTTCACATTTCAAAATCATTGAGTGCAATAATAATATATAATGTATTTGAACGTGTTTGGCAATTCTTAATATGATACATTTCTGGTAATATTTAGACTGCACCTGGTTCAAGGACAATATGTAAAGAATTAGGGTTGCACTTTACTTTAGCGTTAACATATATTTATTAAGACAAAAGATTACTTTTAGTATATTACACAGTTTTTGAAATATGATATTTTTAGATAAGAGATATTTTCAAAAATCAAATTTCTCATTTTTTTACGAGTATTATAACTAAAACATGACCTTTGACTGCCATAAAGTAAATACTTAGATGAAAATTGATAAGAAAATATTTTGTTGTATATTTAATAGCCAATTTATTCGGTCAGACGGACATATCTAAATAATCTGTAAAAAACATATCAAAGTAATACCTACCTTTAATGTCGAAAATTGAACAATAAAGACAAAACAAGATATAAATGGAATAATTACAATCACTTCACCTATATTCACTCTGTTGTAATGTAAGTCAGATTGGTTTACATATGATCTATTGTTTTCATATATCACACATAGAAAATACATGAACCGTGTGACTTCTAATAATTTTATGTATTAACGCGCATTGTTTGTCTAATTTACTATGTTTACAATAGAGTTTCATGTTCAATGTACTATATCAAACCCTATACATAATTAAAACTTTTTAATGACAAAATTGTTTTCCTTATTTGTAATGACTTTGAATACATGTATATATTTTCAAACAGTATAAAAATAGATGGGCCATTCTATCTTATAAAATCTACTCACCCCTGTCAAGAAAAATAACGATTGTTAAAGTGCAAATTTCGTGACTCTTTCTTCTTTGTTTTTCTTGTAGCAGACACTTTAGTTTTTTCAGTGCATAGTGCAATTTAGTGCATATAAAATTGTTACATAAGTGACAATTTTCTCAAGACTTCTGTGTATTAATCGTTCCGACATGTATATTGTATGATTCGAACGGGAACATGTGTAAGTTCTGGTACTTCTAAGTACACAAATTAAAGTGACTCAAAGAACTACATCTAACATGATGGCTGCTATGTTACGTCATGTGATGACTAAAACACATAACAGTTTTCTAAAATACCAGTTGCTATGTGACATAAGTTACTTCTCACTGTCACTGATACCTATTCTAACATTAACCTCTAGATACAGTACCTGCACAGTATGACACAGTCTAAAACATTCTAATATCAGGACTATTTAATCTTTAAATCGATGTAGAATAATTACCAGTGTAACATATCCATTTCTTGAGATAAAAGAATCTTTATAAACATAATTGATTTTACATTAATCCTCAATTCTAGAAATGGCTCTTTTGTAGAAGCATTTTCAGAGTCGTAATTACTCATTGATTTTGTTATAACCATTATATTCTGTTTTTTATTATGTAATTTGTGTTTAAAGATAAAAAATATTTCTCAATAATTACAAACATGAGAAGTTAAGGTCTGGATATAACGAATGAGATCGTATTAAACATGAACTTATTTTATTGAAAATTGAGAAAAACTATAGTTATGACAGACAATTGTTAGATACTTTTGGTATAACTATAGGGCAGACTTAGTTTATGGCTCATGACAGATAAGGTTTTGCAGTTCTTGTATTATTACAGGACAGAATGGGTTCTGCAGGTCTTGTAATGTTACAGGACAGAATACGTTTGCAGGTCTTGTATTATTACAGGACAGAATACGTTTGCAGATCTTGTATTTTACAGGACAGAAAACGTTCTGCAGGTCTTGTATTATTACAGGACAGAATAAGTTTGCAGGTCTTGTATTATTACAAGACATAATTGGTTTGTAGCTCTTGTATTATTACAGCACAAAAATCGTTTGCAGGTCTTGTATTATTAAAGCACAAACATCGTTTGCAGGTCTTGTATAATTATGACAGGATTGGTTTGCATTATTGTATATTAGATATAACGACATTCGACTACATTATAAGAGAGTTTGTTCTTCAGTCAGTTTGTAAAACATGTAATTTAAACAAAAAACAAACAAAAAACAACAACAAAAAACAACCACATATCATCACAGTTACCTTATCATAAAATGAGTATATTTACCTGTTTAACTATATTTACCTTAAATGTACTAATGGATTAAACTGTATATTACTAAACATTAAATCAGTATAGAAAACTTAAATAGATTATAGCTGTAACTATTAGTCATGAGGTCATAAGTATTACCCAATATATGGTAAAGTAGTGGGGGCTACATTTTTTGTGTACAAGTACATCTAGATAATATATATAATGGGACTTGAAGTTGGTTCGAAATTCTTTACTACTTTTTAATAATCTGTATCATATCTATTTATTTTACATTTATACTATACATGTATTATAACTCATAGGAAAGAAAGAAAGAAAGAAAGAAAGAAAGAAAGAAAGAAAGAAAGAAAGAAAGAAAGAAAGAAAGAAAAAGAAAGAAAGAAAGAAAGAAAGAAAGTGCTAAATCATGTTTATAAAACAGTTGATAAAAGTACAAAAATTCAAACACTTACCCATTTTTTCTTCTGCTTGACACAATTTTTCTTATTATGTTGTACACCAATTAAGAATAATTTTGTTCCGACTAATTGGCTAAGGTTTTCAAATTAACATTTCACAAAATTTAAATTAATTCCTTCAGAATTATGATTAAGTCTAGTAAACGGAGTCTACACGTAGATTAAGTCACTCGCCGAGATTATTTTAGATTAAATTTTGAATATTTATTTAAATGCTCTTCAATTTAATCTGAGATATAGTTTATAACTTTAACATTTAACTTTTGATTGGGAAACTTTCTTTATAATACGCATATCTCCGACTGTCGAATATTTCGGTTGTAAACGATATGAATTGGCTCGAATGTCAATAAGCTATAGAAAAATGTAAAGATACGCTCTCAATAACTAATTGGACAAATTTCAATAAGCTTTAGACCAACCTGAATAATTAGTAGTCAAACGATTTCCCTTTTCATCGTTATTAAACAAATTGTAGTCTTCAAAATTTATATCCAGATGTAGAATGAATACATAAAGGGAGGCCTATAATTTTGTAAAACTGTTACAACACGTCAAAATATACAATTATACCTGTAATTTTATATAATGAAGTGAGCACCGATATTGTATTTATATATAAGTACATAAAAATACATTAACATAATAAGAAGTTAATAAGTAAACCCTATCACGGACAATACAGCCCCCCTACCGTGTAATTTTATCGATTCCCTACTTCCAACCGTTAATTGTGGAAAAGAATTAAAGAATTTGTCAACGGAGGGCCCAAAAAAGTCAACACCAAACCCTTTTCCCTGGGGGGAGGTCAGGTGTAAAATTTACCCCCCTTTAAAACCACGGTTTTTAAAAGCATTTTTTAACAGCGTGTCATTAAAAAAATGCTTTTTCCCGAAAAATTTTTTAAAAAAAGACATTTTATTTTTTTGTAGCGGGCCATTTAAAGGCAATTATTCAAAAAAAAGATAAATTTCCTTTTTTTTGAAAGAAAAGAAAAATTTTAATAAGTTTAAATACAGTTTAAAAATTTTCAAAGAGTAAATGCTTTTTACCTAAGAAAGAGGCTAAATTTAAAAATTTCAAAAAGAAAAAATTTAAAAAAAATAGAAATTTTTGGTTTCCATACAAACTATTAGACTGTACTTTTTTCCAAAGGAGTTTTTTTTATAAACTTAGTCTTTGTTCAATCCTTTTTTTGAGATAAAAAGGTTTATTGTAAAAAATTTATATTTATATATATTTCGGGAAAATTTTTTTAAATTTATAAATGCCCAAAAAAGAAGGAAAAAGGGGGGGTTAGGGGAATTGGCCATAGTATTTTTTGATCAGTAAAGTACCCAAAAAAAACATTTTTGAGAAATAAAAATTAAAAACATTTCTTGTAATAAAGGGGCCCTTTAAAAAGAAAACAAGCTAGCATTTCCAGTCTGCAACGCGTACAAGGTTTAAACCAAAAAAAAAAAACCATTTTAGGGCACGGCGGGGAGAAAAAGAAAGAGAAAAAGGGGGGGAAAGGAGGGGAAAAAAAGAGAAAGGAAGAAAAAAAAGAAAAGAAAAAAAAAAAGGAAAGGGGAAGAAAAGGAACCAAAAATATCAAATTTTAAAAAAGAAAATTAAATTAAAAACTTATTATTGAAAATTAAAAGCCAAACAAATTTTTATAAATGCACTACATTAAATTTTAATATGAGAAAAAATGTTTTGCAAGTAAAAATTAACAGGTCCCAAAATTAAAAATATTGAAAAGAATTCCTTTTGAGTGAAAAAAGAAGGGGGAAAGGGAAAACATAAAATAAAAAAAAGGTATTCCTAAAATTTTCTGTCATTTTTTAAAGAAAAAAAAACGAATGCTTTTTTTTTAGAAGAAGGCAATGTCTTTTTAATTCGTAAAATAATGCCTTTATCTGTCTGCATCAGAACTCCGTTTTTCGTAAGTTTAAAACCTTTTTTCAAACCTAACACTTATTCTAAAAAACCCTGAAAACAAACCCAAAAAAACACCCCAATAAATAAAAAATATGCAAACAAAAAATTGACACCAAAGAAAATACGGTTTTCATTACCTGCGGTTAATTCATTAAATGCCATGATATTCAGATAAAGCCAGTGTCGTTTAAAGCACCTTTCATTAATAGACTGCCATTTAAAAAGGATTCCACTATGTTTTATTACATGACAGTTGTACCTTTTTGTCGTATGGCTGGACCAGTAACTAATGTGCAAATTTTCAGATTATTCTTTCATCCTGTTTTCCTAGAATAATCATTATCATTGTTAAAATTGGTGCCAACAAGATAGACCGCGTTAAGGCACCTTATGTTGATGGAAAGCAGCGTTAAACATCTTATGTTGGATGAAAAAGCAGCGTTAAGACATCTTATGTTGATGAAAAGCAGCGTTAAGACATCTTATGTTGAATGAAAAAGCAGCGCTAAGACATCTTATGTTGATGAAAGCAGCGTTTTGACATTCTTAATGTTGATGAACGCAGCGTTAAGACATCTTATGTTGAGAAAGCAGGGGTTAAGACATCTTAATGTTGAATGAAATCTGCGTTACGGCACCTAATGTTGATGAAAGCAACGTTAAGAAATCTTTAATGTTTATGAAAGCACGTTTAAAAATCTTTATTGTGTGTGAGAAAAAGCAACTTAAGACATTTATGTTATGAAATAAGGCCAAGCGTAAACATCTTATGTTGAAAAGAAGCGTTTAAGAACATCTTATGTTGATGAAAAACACGTTGATAGACACATCTTTAATGAAACAGCGTTAAGACATCCTTATTTTGAGAAAAGCAGCCCCCGAGAAAACCATCTTATGTTGATGAAAGCAGCGTTAAGACAAATCTTATGTTGATGGAAAAGCTCAGCGTTTTAAGATATCTTATGTTGGAAGAAAGCAAGCGTTTAAGAACCATCTTATGGGTTAATGGAAAGAGCAGCGTTAAGACATCTTATTGATGAAAGCTATGGACGTTAAAGGGAAATCTTATGTTTAGAAACAGCGGTTAAGACATCTTATGTGATGAAAGCAGCGTTTAAGACATCTTATGTTAAGAAAAACAGCGGGTTAAGTACATCTTATTTGTTGATGAAAGCAGCTTAAGCACTTATGTTGATAAGAAAGCAGCCTGGTTAAGACATCTTATGTTGAAATCTGCGTTAAGGCACCTAATGTGTTGATGAAAAGCACGCTAAGATACCTAATAATTGATGAAAAAGCGGTTTAGATACATTAATGTTTAATGGAAAGCAGCCGCTAAGATAAAACCTAATAATGGATGAAAAGGCCGCCGTTAAGACACCTAATGTTGGTGAAAGCAAGCGTAAAGATACCCTAATGTTGAAGAAAGCAGCGTTAAGGACATTTAATGTTGATGAAATTCTGCTTTTAAGGCACCTTATGTATTGATTGAAAAGCAGCTTTAAGACATCTTTATGAAATTATAAGCCCGCGCAGTTAAGACACCCTAATCGTTTGAAAGGCAGCAACAACATACCTAATGTTGAAGAAAGCAGCGTTAAAATACCTAATATTGATGAAAGCAGCCCGTTAAAGATACCCTAATGTTGATGGAAAAGCAAGCGATAAGGTCACCCTAAATGTTGATGAAAGCAGCGTTAAGACATCTTATGTTGATGAAAAAGCAGCATCCGCGTTAAGACAAATCTTATGTTTGATGAAAGCAGCGCGCAAGACATCTTAAATGTTGATGAAAGCAGCGTTAAGACATCTTATGTTGATGGAAAGCAGCGTTAAGACAATCTTTATCTTGGAAAAGCAGGGCTTTTAAACAATTTCTTATGTTGATGAAATCTGGCGTTACGGGCACCTAATGTTGGAAAAGCAGCCGTTTAAGACATCTTATTGTTTGATGAAAGCAGCGTTTTAAGACATCTTATGTTGATGAAAAAAGGCAGCGTTAAGACATCTTATGTTGATGAAAGCAGCGTTAAGACATCTTATGTTGATGAAACAGCCGTTAAGACATCTCTATGTTTGATGAAAGCAGCGGTTGAGAACATCTTTATGTTGATGAAAGCAGCGTTAAGACATCTTATGTTGATTGAAAACAGCGTTAAGACATCTTAAATGTTGAGAAAACAGCCGTTATAAAGACATCTTATGTTGATGAAAAAAGCAAGCGTTAAAGACATCTTAATGTTGATGAAAGCAGCGTTTTAAGAACATCTTATGTTGATGAAAGCAGCGTTAAGACATCTTATGTTGATGAAAGCAGCGTTAAGACATCTTATGTTGATGAAAGCAGCGTTAAGAATCTTATCTTGATGAAAGCAGCGTTAAGACATCTTATGTGTGATGAAAAAGCAGCGTTAAGACATCTTTATGATTTGAAACAGAGTTAAGACATTCTTATGTTGATGAAAGCAGCGTTAAGACATCTTATGTTGATGAAATCTGCGTTAAGGCACCTAATGTTGATGAAAGCCAGCACGCTAAGATACCTAATAATGGATGAAAGCAGCGTTTTAGGATACATTATGTTAATGAAAGCAGCGCTAAGATACCCTAATAATGATGAAAGCCGCGTTTAAACACCTAATGTTGGTGAAAGCAGCCGTTAAAGATACCTAATGTTTGAAGAAAGCAGCGTTAAGACATTTAATGTGATGAATCTGCGTTAAGGCACCTTATGTTGATGAAAGCAGCGTTAAGACATCTTATGATGATTAAAGCCGCGTTAAGACACCTAAAAATGTTCGGTGAAAAGCAGCGTAAACATTTTACCTAAATGTTGAAGAAAGGCAGCTTAAGATACCTAATATTGGATGAAAGCAGCCGTTAAGATACCTAATGTTGATGAAAGCAGCGCTTAAGATACCTAATAATGATGAAAGCAGCAGGGTTAAGATACCTAATGTTTTATGAAAAGCAGCGTCTAAGACATCTTATGATGCCATAGAAAGCCGCGGTTAAACACCAATGTTGGGTGAAAGCAGCGTAAAGATAAACTAATGTTAAAGAAAGCAGCGTTAAGAATACCTAATATTGATGAAAAGCAAGCGTTAAGATACCTAATGTTGATGAAAGCAGCGTTAAGATCCATAATATTGATGAAAAACAGCTTAAGATACCTAATATCTTATGTTGATGAAAGCAGGCGTTAGGTCACCTAATGTTTGATTTAAAGCCAGCGTTAAGGCACCTTGTGTTGATGAAAGCCGCGTAAAGGCACCTTATATTGATGGGAAAGCCGCGGGGTAAAGACATCTAATGTTGATGTAACCAGCGTAAAGACATCTAATGTTGATGAAAGTCGCGTTAATGCACCTAATGTTGATGAAAGCCGCGTTTAGACATTAAATGTTGATGAAAGCAGCGTTTAAGGCACCTAATGTTGATGAAAGCAGCGTTAAGTCACCTAATGTTGATGAAAGCAGCGATAATCACCTAATGTTGATGAAAGCAGCGATAAGTCACCTTATAATGATGAAAGCAGCATTAAAACACATAATAAATGATAAAAGCAGCGTTAAGTCACCTAATAATGATAAAAGCAGCGTTAAGACACCTAATGTTGATGAAAGCAGCGTTAAGTCACATAATGTTGATGAAAGCAGCGTTAAGTCACCTAATGTTGATGGGACAGCAGCGTTAAGGACACCTAATGTTGATGAAAGCCGCGTTTAGACATTAAAATGTTGATGAAAGCAGCGTTAAGGCACCCTAATGTTGATGAAAGCAGCGTTAAGTCACCTAATGTTGATGAAAGCAGCGATGAGTCACCTTTATAATGATGAAAGCAGCATTAAAACACATTAATAATGATTAAAAGCAGCGTTAAGTCACCTAATGTTGATGAAAGCAGCGTTAAGTCACCTTATAATGATAAAAGCAGCATTAAGTCATCTAATAATGATAAAAGCAGCGTTAAGACACCTAATGTTGATGAAAGCAGCGTAAAGTCACATAATGTTGATGAAAGCAGCGTTAAGTCACCTAATGTTGATGACAGCAGCGTTAGGCACCTAATGTTGATGAAAGCAGCGTTAAGTCACCTTATAATGATAAAAGCAGCATTAAGTCACCTAATAATGATAAAAGCAGCGTTAAGACACATAATGTTGATGAAAGAAGCGTTAAGATACCTTATGTTGATGAAAGCCGCATTAATACACCTAATGTTGATGAAAGCAGCGTTAAGGCACCTAATGTTGATGTAAGATGCGTTAAGACACCTAATGTTGATGAAAGCAGCGTAAAGACATTTAATGTTGATGAAAGCAGCATTAAGGTGCCTAATGTTGATGAAAGCAGCGTTAAGACACCTAATGTTGATGAAAGCAGCGTTAAGTCACCTTATAATGATAAAAGCAGCATTAAGTCACCTTATAATGATAAAAGCAGCGTTAAGACACATAATGTTGATGAAAGCAGCGTTAAGATACCTTATGATGATGAAACCAGCGAAAAGACACATAATGTTGATGAAAGCAGCGTTCAGCCACCTTATGATGATGAATCAAGCGAAAAGACACGTAATGTTGATGGAAGCAGCCTTAAGACACCTAATGTTGGTGAAAGCAGCGTTAAGATACCTTATGTAGATGAAATCAGCGTTAAGACACATAATGTTGATGAAAGCCGCGTTAAGACATCTAATGTTGATGAAAGCAGCGTTACGATACCTAATGTTGATGAAAGCAGCGTTAAGTCACCTAATGTTGATGGAAGCAGCCTTAAGACACCTAATATTGGTGAAGGCAGCGTTAAGATACCTGATGTAGATGAAATCAGCGTTAAGACACATAATGTTGATGAAAGCCGCGTTAAGACATCTAATGTTGATGAAAGCAGCGTTAAGATACCTAATGTTGATGAAAGCAGCGTTAAGACACCTAATGTTGATGAAAGCAGCGTTAAGGCACCTTATGTTGATGAAAGCAGCGTTAAGACATCTTATGTTGATGAAAGCAGCGTTAAGACATCTTATGTTGATGAAAGCAGCGTTAAGACATCTTATGTTGATGAAATCTGCGTTAAGGCACCTAATGTTGATGAAAGCAGCGCTAAGATACCTAATAATGATGAAAGCAGCGTTTAGATACATTATGTTAATGAAAGCAGCGCTAAGATACCTAATAATGATGAAAGCCGCGTTAAGACACCTAATGTTGGTGAAAGCAGCGTAAAGATACCTAATGTTGAAGAAAGCAGCGTTAAGACATTTAATGTTGATGAAATCTGCGTTAAGGCACCTTATGTTGATGAAAGCAGCGTTAAGACATCTTATGATGATTAAAGCCGCGTTAAGACACCTAATGTTGGTGAAAGCAGCGTAAACATACCTAATGTTGAAGAAAGCAGCGTTAAGATACCTAATATTGATGAAAGCAGCGTTAAGATACCTAATGTTGATGAAAGCAGCGCTAAGATACCTAATAATGATGAAAGCAGCGTTAAGATACCTAATGTTTATGAAAGCAGCGTTAAGACATCTTATGATGATGAAAGCCGCGTTAAGACACCTAATGTTGGTGAAAGCAGCGTAAAGATACCTAATGTTGAAGAAAGCAGCGTTAAGATACCTAATATTGATGAAAGCAGCGTTAAGATACCTAATGTTGATGAAAGCAGCGTTAAGATCCATAATATTGATGAAAACAGCGTTAAGATACCTAATATCTTATGTTGATGAAAGCAGCGTTAGGTCACCTAATGTTGATTAAAGCAGCGTTAAGGCACCTTGTGTTGATGAAAGCCGCGTAAAGGCACCTTATATTGATGAAAGCCGCGGTAAGACATCTAATGTTGATGTAACCAGCGTAAAGACATCTAATGTTGATGAAAGTCGCGTTAATGCACCTAATGTTGATGAAAGCCGCGTTTAGACATTAAATGTTGATGAAAGCAGCGTTAAGGCACCTAATGTTGATGAAAGCAGCGTTAAGTCACCTAATGTTGATGAAAGCAGCGATAAGTCACCTAATGTTGATGAAAGCAGCGATAAGTCACCTTATAATGATGAAAGCAGCATTAAAACACATAATAATGATAAAAGCAGCGTTAAGTCACCTAATAATGATAAAAGCAGCGTTAAGACACCTAATGTTGATGAAAGCAGCGTTAAGTCACATAATGTTGATGAAAGCAGCGTTAAGTCACCTAATGTTGATGACAGCAGCGTTAAGACACCTAATGTTGATGAAAGCCGCGTTTAGACATTAAATGTTGATGAAAGCAGCGTTAAGGCACCTAATGTTGATGAAAGCAGCGTTAAGTCACCTAATGTTGATGAAAGCAGCGATGAGTCACCTTATAATGATGAAAGCAGCATTAAAACACATAATAATGATAAAAGCAGCGTTAAGTCACCTAATGTTGATGAAAGCAGCGTTAAGTCACCTTATAATGATAAAAGCAGCATTAAGTCATCTAATAATGATAAAAGCAGCGTTAAGACACCTAATGTTGATGAAAGCAGCGTAAAGTCACATAATGTTGATGAAAGCAGCGTTAAGTCACCTAATGTTGATGACAGCAGCGTTAGGCACCTAATGTGTTGATGAAGCAGCGTTAAGTCACCTATATATGATAAAAGTAGCATTTAAGTCACCTAATAATGATAAAAGCAGCGTTAAGACACATTAATGTTGATGAAAGAAGCGTTAAGATACCTTATGTTGATGAAAGCAGCGTGAAGACACCTATTGTTGGTGAAAGCAGCGTTAATATACCTTATGTTGATGAAAGCAGCGTTAAGACACCTTATGTTGATGAAAGCAGCGTAAAGACATTTAATGTTGATGAAAGCAGCGTTAAGGCACCTAATGTTGATGTAAGCAGCGGAAAGGCATTTAATGTTGATGAAAGCAGCGTTAAGACAACTTACGTTGATGAAAGCAGCGTTAAGATACCTAATGTTGATGAAAGCAGCGTTAAGATACCTTATGATGATGAAACCAGCGAAAAGACACATAATGTTGATGAAAGCAGCGTTCAGCCACCTTATGATGATGAATCAAGCGAAAAGACACGTAATGTTGATGGAAGCAGCCTTAAGACACCTAATGTTGGTGAAAGCAGCGTTAAGATACCTTATGTAGATGAAATCAGCGTTAAGACACTTTATGTTGATGAAAGCCGCGTTAAGACATCTAATGTTGATGTAAGCAGCGTTACGATACCTAATGTTGATGAAAGCAGCGTTAAGTCACCTAATGTTGATGGAAGCAGCCTTAAGACACCTAATATTGGTGAAAGCAGCGTTAAGATACCTGATGTAGATGAAATCAGCGTTAAGACACATAATGTTGATGAAAGCCGCGTTAAGACATCTAATGTTGATGGAAGCAGCCTTAAGACACCTAATGTTGGTGAAAGCAGCGTTAAGATACCTTATGTAGATGAAATCAGCGTTAAGACATAAAATGTTGATGAAAGCCGCGTTAAGACATCTAATGTTGATGAAAGCAGCGTAAAGATACCTAATGTTGATGAAAGCAGCGTCAAGACACCTTATGTTGACTAAAGCAGCGTAAAGTCACCTAATAATGATAAAAGCAGCATTAAGTCACCTAATAATGATAAAAGCAGCGTTAAGACACATAATGTTGATGAAAGCAGCGTTAAGTCAACTAATAATGATAAAAGCAGCATTAAGTCACCTAATAATGATAAAAGCAGCGTTAAGACACATAATGTTGATGAAAGCAGCGTTAAGTCAACTAATAATGATAAAAGCAGCATTAAGTCACCTAATAATGATAAAAGCAGCGTTAAGACACATAATGTTGATGAAAGCAGCGTTAAGTCAACTAATAATGATAAAAGCAGCATTAAGTCACCAAATAATGATAAAATCAGCGTTAAGACACATAATGCTGATGAAAGCAGCGTTAAGTCAACTAATAATGATAAAAGCAGCATTAGGTCACCTAATAATGATAAAAGCAGTGTTAAGACACATAATGTTGATGAAAGCAGCGTTAAGTCACCTTATGATGATGAAACCAGCGAAAAGACACCTAATGTTGATGTAAGCCGCGTTAAGATACCTAATGTTGATGAAAGCAGCGTTAAGATACCTTATGTTGATGAAAGCTGCATTAAGTCACCTAATGTTGATGAAAGCTGCATTAAGTCACCTCATGTTGATGAAATCTGCGTTAAGACATCTTATGTTGATAGAGGCTTCGTTAAGACATCTTATGTTGATAGAGGCTGCGTTAAGACACCTTATGTTGATAGAGGCTGCGTTAAGACACCTTATTTTGATAGAGGCTGCGTTAAGACATCTTATGTTGATAGAGGCTGCGTTAAGACACCTTATGTTGATAGAGGCTGCGTTAAGACATCTTATGTTGATAGAGGCTGCGTTAAGACATCTTATGTTGATAGAGGCTGCGTTAAGACATCTTATGTTGATAGAGGCTGCGTTAAGACACCTTATGTTGATAGAGGCTGCGTTAAGACATCTTATGTTGATAGAGGCTGCGTTAAGACACCTTATGTTGATAGAGGCTGCGTTAAGACATCTTATGTTGATAGAGGCTGCGTTAAGACACCTTATGTTGATAGAGGCTGCGTTAAGACACCTTATGTTGATAGAGGCTGCGTTAAGACACCTTATGTTGATAGAGGCTGCGTTAAGACACCTTATTTTTGATAGAGGCTGCGTTAAGACATCTTATGTTGATAGAGGCTGCGTAAGACACCTTATATGTTACTGAGAGAGACTTCATTTAAATAAAAGCACCATCATTACTTTGTTTATATAAATACATCGTCATTAAAATACTTTGTTTATATAAAAGCATCGACATTTAAGATACTTTATTTAAATAAAAGGATCGTCACTTAAGATACTTGATTTGAATTGAATGTTGAAGACGCGTACGTAGTTCTTGTGCAGGTCTTTACTATTGTAAAAAACCTGGTATACGGATAATAATACGGAAAAAAAGTTCAACACCTAAAACGTATTCTGATGTATCGCTATATTTTTCTCAATTCATGATAGTTCATGTGTTTCTCTTCTTATTTAGCTATCTCTTCCGCAATGAAGCAACCAGTTCTAATACAGATGAACTAACTCTAAGAAGGGGTGCAATCAATACTAGACTGTTTGAAGTTAAGTTTAGGTAGCCTCCCTTCTAAAACTTTCTTGACTGTATACTCAATAGCCTAGCATGAAACTGCGTTGTGTTTGATGTCTTACATATTTCGAATTCGTACACAAAATGCCAATCAACAATATCTCTAGTACTAGGTGTATAGGCCTAACAGTAATCAGTAGACCTACTAGATCTGCTAGATCTACTGTACGTAGTTATAATTTTTGTTAATAAATGCCCGAAAATTAAATTTTATTGACTCGTGTAAACGACAGGATATATCTGATTGTTGATGGCGCAATTTGACGAAAAAATGCCAGCTAGTCATAATCAGAATTGATTGTTAAGCAGTATGATGTAGACGTTAAATAATAGAACTGAGACTTCTCTGAATAGAATCACAGATAAAATAAATATCTACATGTTAAATTTATTAACTGATTAAAACATTATGAGCAATGGCAATTAATTGGTGCTAAGATTGTTTCACTTTATGACAAGCGTTTTAATTCATAGATTTAATTTGTTAAGACATTTAGTTACTGTGTTTGGGCCTACAAGCTACAAGGTTACGGGTGCCGTTCCATTTTCCGCAAAGGGGAGTAATTCATACCATGACGTCATTTGCAATATGGCGGACGAAGAAACGAAGGTGAATCTTGGACCGGATGGTAAAAAAATCGTTTCTATGACCCTTTATATAAAATAAAATAAACTTGATCACTGTCTAATTTGCAGCTTTTACAGAAATACAATGTTATACTAATATATACTGCGTACTTTATCCACAAAAATGAAAAGCGGTTCCCTTTTTGCGGTTGATCTGGCCAACTTTGTTTGTTTAATTTTTGGGCGATGTTGCGAAAAATGATAATCGGTTCTTAAAGATTATAAAACAAACAAGGAAACACATGCTAATTGAAGTAATTTAACTTTTATAAATTTTCAAAAGATTTACCTTTTTTCACGATGCCATCTAATTTTAATTCAACACCTAGTAGGCTACTGAAGTGAGTTGGTTCAAACTTAAAACTAGATTTGATTTGCTCATGAGATATATTTATATCATAATTTGCCATACATGCCATAATGTCTCAGAAATCGGTGACATCACAGAGGCGTCCTGGAGAAGATATATATGCCTGAAAAAGAGAAAAATCTAATTTAACTTGATATGTTGCAACAAACTATTAAAGCTATTTATCTAAAGGCAGTGGCTAGTCGTACGGGGCCCACATTGCTAGCCAAAAGTTCTAGCTGTATGTGAGTCACATATCACTAGCCTATACACACTGTTGAAGCTGTTGGGAGTAGCCATACTTTACATAAGGTGGCGCGATAGCTCAGTTGGTTAGACTACTGGCAGTCACTCCTGCGGTCCCGGGTTTGATCCTGGGTAACACCCTTGGGATTTTCAAAGACACTTTCAGTGTTTCCCACTTAACTAGAGGTGTACTGGTAAGAAATCCAGGTAATTTTCGCATGTATCAGTGCTATACACTGGGCATGTAAAAGAACCAAGGGGTCTTTTCAATAAGAGCTAGGGACTGGTTCCCGGATTCCCTTGTTTCTCATAGCTTTCTCTGAAGTGACTAGTCTATAGTCATGTCTACATCCCAGCGAGGGGTTTGACATTAATGAAAGATAGAAAGGTACAATTTAGTAAGCTATTACTAAAGATTCATCAAAATTGCTACATGTATGTTGATTGCCTCTGTTCAAATTTAAGAAAAGATCCAGGACATGTTTCCCCCCTTACTTAGCAGTGATGGATATTTGCCCTCTTGTATATGTTTTGAATCTGACCCTGCTCAACCAGTATAAATGTTAAGCACTATGCAGTGGTGCATACTGTATGTGCCGTCTCGTATATGTTTTGAAAGTGCCGACATTTATTCTTCCCCTTTATCAGTCTCACCTTTCTCACCCAATATAAATGTTAAGGGCAGATTCTTGCCCAAACCCCTGTCCTATGTTTTAACATTGTCACTACTATTCAATTGAAACATTTTTTATTACAGAAAAAGAATAATATAGAAGTAAAGTGTACTGTGATAAAAGAGATAAATTATAGTGTCACGCTTTGTTTTTGCTTGAATATAATCCTATAAGTATATTAATAAATTGCAAACTTAAATAACGCAGGAATGCCCTCAGAAATTTTTTATGTGGCAAATGTCCGTCCTTCAAAAATGAATTTGAGGTTAAATGTCTGCATTGATGAAAAGGGTGTGGAGCTTTTGTCCTGTTTTCTTCAGAAATGCTGATCAGAACTATCTTGTAAGATAATACAAGGCTTCATAACTTTGGCATTTTCATAATTTCTCCTTTACTGCATTGCTTTTAATAAAAGGGGAAACAGCCATTATTTAGTTCTATTAAAGTATAGGGCAAAAAATCATAGGCTGCTGTTCAGTCATGGTTCTGGTAAAGAATGTGCACAGGACATTTCAGGGGGAAATAAACCATATTAAAGGGAAAATATATATCTATATTGGCTAGGGGAAACAGTCTGTAAATTAAAGGGGAAACAATCACCGAGTTTGTTGACACAAATTTGGATATTTTAAAATACCTTTCTTTTTAAATGATGATCATCTCCATAATTATGCTTATTTGATTATCTAGAAATTTATAGTAACTTAATTAGTAAAAATATTGTAAAAGTACAGTGATTGACTGATTATGTAAGGAAAGCTGTAAATTTAGATTAATATATGTTGTATTACTGTGAGTATATGAGTTGATTAGAGAGTTGTTACTGTTGTGTGGGCCTTTAAAGTTTTATATTAATATCATAATGAGACATGGGAATGCATCTGCAGAAGTAATTTCCATTATTTTATTACAATAAAGGATGATTGATACTATTTAAAGAGATACAATAATCAATTAATGACAACATTGATCATTACCTCATTATTCATGTTACCAAGGAATTACCAAATAGAATTGCATTGTCTTAACTTGATTAGATCACAGATTATAATGTGGGACAAGTAAAAATTTTCCTCAGAACAAGTATTAACATAAAAACTGAGTTATTTTATATATTTAAAGGTATATTTATTTATATGAAAACCATTTTGAGGTTTTTGTTATTTTAAGTAATAAATTCATAAAAGTCTCAAAACTGTTTAAAATTTATTCAGTGATTAAGCTATAAAGCTACCTTATGGGATGTTTGTGGTTCTACTAAGACTCAGAATGGAAGGGACCTGAGATCTTCCTCCACCAGTAAAATTGAAAAGTGGCAGGCTATATGACATCTAGTCTCTACTGTGTTGTTGTGACAAAAGTCACAAAACCAAAA